GGCATCCAGGCGGGAGCTGGGACGTGCTGCTTGGTGCCAGGCTGTGGTGGTGTGTGAAGGTGCACTGGAGTGTCCACTGTGTAGCTGAGCCAGAGAATTCACCCCCTCCCTGGTGTGTGTCAGGAGGTGGGAGCAGCACAGCCCTCCTCCTGTGCTCTGGCATTGCCAGGCTGCCCTGTGGCTGTCTGGGCAGAACACAGATCAGGGGCTCCTGTTGGTGCATGACCAGGGCCCTGCCCTCAGAACTGGCAGGGGAGTGTTTGATTTCACAGTGCAGCACCCACTGCACGGCGGGTCAGAGCTGGCAGGTGAGTGTGCTCCCTGCTTGCTTGGACGAGGCCACTACCTGTGCTGTTTATTCCCAGGTGTTCAGATAACATCCACTCACTTTTTAACCCTTTCTCTGTTTTGCCCACTTTCAGAATAGGGTTTTAAGCAGAACAGGGAACTTGAGGCTTCTCACTCGACACTACAGCCAGTTTTCCACCACGAACTCTGCATTTCAAGTAAGCTTAAGGGCCTGCTGGAAGAGGAAGGATTTCCTTTTTAACTGAGAGAAGGGATAGTTTTTCTTCCCTCAAGCATTGCATCTACTTAATGCACTTACCCAGGGCTGCTTGTTAATAATTAAAAAGAAAGGTTCTGCTGCAACTTATAATGGATAATTGTACCCTACAGAGTCGATAAAGATGAACGAGTTGCAATTACTACAGCATTTAAGGACAGCAGTTGGAGCAGCATTCTGATTAAATGAGGGGATTGAAAATCGGATATGCCACCCAACAGCTGTGGAAGCAGCCTCTGCCTTATCAGAAACCATCTTATCTGACTTCACCATAGAAAATGTGCTGCTTAGGAGGAGGAAAAAGAAAGTAAAGCATGTACTCAGCTACTACTACCAGGGAACTGCTGTGCCAGATGCCTGTGTCTTGTTCTGGCATTATACCCCAGCTGTAATGGGCAGCATCTGCTGCTGGTTTGGGCCTGGCTGGCTCAGAGAAATTTGCCTACTAGTTGTGTGAAACAGAACCAAAACACGTAGGATGGAGCTCCTGTGTGTACATTTGACTTGAACCTGGGCTGCTGTAAGTATATCTCTGTAAGTACATCTGCTGTAAGTATGCTCTCCCCTCCCACACCTGCCCTGACTTCACTGGACAGAGCCAAAGGGACTGTTTGGGCATTACCTTGGGGTGAAGGAGGTAGAGCCTGCAGGTCACCCCCCCAAACCTGCTGAAGCGGCCCCTGCTGCCTGTTCTGGGCAGACCCAGCCTCTCTGAAGTTAAATTCACAGCTGAGGGAGGCTGCCTGAACCCTGTGTTACTGGGGGGTGTCACTGAAGGCTGCTGGTGAACAGGTGACTGTAACAGCCTGGGTGCAAATCAGGATTCAGACTTGGGGACTAGCAAGGATTTGTTTGTTTAAGTCCATAATTCTGCAACTACTTGAGATAGGGGGAAAATCTCAGCATTTGGAAAAATCACCTCTTCCCCTGACATCATGATTTAATCTATTTAAAAGCAGAGTGCTTGGAAAAAGTCCTATAATCTTTTGGAATACACACAGCACATGGCTGACGTGATGCCATACAATATTTCTTCTATGCAGCTGTTACAGGCCCTGGCTTAGGGGGTGGAAGGAGATTTAAATGTCCTGCCAGCTGGCTGAGACACCCACCGACCTCTGCAGCAGAGGAGCCCCTGCAGGAAGGATGTGTTTCCTCCCACAATGTGAGCAGAGCCCAGCACAGCCTGTGCCCTCCTGTCAGTGTCGTTCCTATGTGTAGTCCTCCTCACTCTGGGACCCAACCCCAGGTAACTGCTCAGCCCATTTGGTGCAGCAACACCCTTCTGTGGAGCACAGCCTGTGGAATGCCTGTGCCAGCACCTGGGAGGGAGAGCATGTCCCTGGGAGAGCAGGGTACAAACCCCGGGGCTGGGCAGTGGCTTAACCTTTGTGTCAGGGAAGGGTGGTAACTGAGGTGTGATGGGCTCCTCAGCACTGGTCACAGCACAGCCAGGGCTGGCCTTCATCCCTGGTTTTTTTTGTAGTAAAGGCAGCCAGCAACTGAAGTTAAAGACCCAAATGTTTGCTGAAGGAGTGTTTAAAATAAAACATGGAGTAGCTCAGTCTGAGCACTAATGCTCTCAGACCAGCCAATCCATCCTCTCACACCCGCCAACCCATCCTCTCACACCCAGTCCCACTTGAGTTTCAGAGCACCCTCAAAGAGCCCAGACCATTACCCTGCTGTGATTACCCCACTGCTCCTACTGTCCCGGGGTGAAAGGCACACCCACCTCCCAAACCCCCCAGCACTGTCATACCCCACATCTTCCTACATCACCGCGTGTCTCAGGCCTGCCCCCTATTTTGGATCTTCTCCCCAGAACTGCAGCCCATCCCAGTTTAAGGGACAAGTCTCTGATGCTCTAAGATACAGATGTAGTGTTATTTTGCTGTAATGGTCAAGCCTTTTTCAGGCCTGTTTCTCTTGGACCAGCCTGGATACAAGTGTGAAGGGATGGGAAGGAGGACACAACTGCAGGACAGGTCCTTTGGCCTTGGCACAGTCTGTTAAACAAGGCTGTGGCTCCCTTGCATGCCAGGGAGCAGGGAGGCTCAGGTCATCATGTCAGAGGGATGCTGCTGCTTCTCTCCCAAGGTGTTTTTTCCTTAACTCTCTGACTTCTCCTTTTAATTTGTTGGTAGGAGGGAAATCTGTTTGGTCCATGCACACATGCTCACACCCATCAGCCCCTCTCTGGGAACAGAGATCCCATCATTAAAACTCTTACCCAACCCAACGCAGGATGACGTTTACCTTCTAAATAACCCTATTTACTGATTTCACAAGGGAAGTGGGAGATGGGGGATTTCAGGCTGTTCCCTTGCCAGGAAGAGGTTGCAGCTTTTTTTTTTCCCTTTCAATTCCTCACATTCACACACCATAACACACACAAAGACACACACGAGGCCACGCCACAGCAGCTTGAACTACAGCTCCCTGCCACCACAAAGCCAGGCAGGCACTGCTGTGGCACCACGACACGCTCTGCCTCAGGCTGCAGGACACTTCCAGGACACCTCCAATGCACAGGAGACTCCCACAAAAGGCTCTAAATCACTCTAGGACTCGGCCATGAGGGGCATTTAATAGCACTTGGTTTCAGATAACACTTAATCTTACAATTGTTGACATTTGACACTGTCTTCGGTACAACAGCATCGGGGACTTGGTCACAAGGTTTAAGTCCTTGTTCCTGTAACCTTGTAAAGCCGGGGCAGTCCAGCTCCCCTGCACCTCCCTGTGCCACCAGTGCAGCCAGCCTGGAGGGCGGCTGGGAGTGCTGGAGTTGCTCCTCTGTCCCCACAGCTTTCCCAGGTCCCTGCTGCTCCTGGCAGAGCAGCCAGCTCACCTCTCCCTGACCTGTGCCTGCACCCCCATGGACAACACCCTCCGTGGCCTCCGAGCTGCACTCGGGCCCTTACGGACAGAATTAACATTTTCTGGGGTACAGAAGATGCATCAAGTGAAATGCAAACCCTCTCCTGATCACACTAACTCATTAGATTTACTTTTAATATAATCACAGTATTGAATGTTAAAATAACAAAACAAAACTCAACAAACCAACCCACACTTGTTGATATCAACACATTATTAAATTAAGCAACTGCTCACACATGACCATGTCCCTACTGTGACACTGCAGGGTTAAAAAATAAAAAAATAAAAGCATCTTACACTGAGTTTATGCTCCCTGCTAAATAGGTTTTGACACCAATCATACCTGAGAGCAGTTTTAGAAGGGCCTTTGGCAGCCATCAGCAAGTGAGTTGCTGGGTCACAGAGAGTAGTGCAAGACAGACTCTGGTTCTCCCAGGATTTTGTTCACTTGCTTACCACCAAAACAAACAAAAAACCCCCTGCAAATTTAAAGAAACTTTAGTGTTTTTAATCCCACACAATTTTCTGTAAGCTTCCTAAAATCTACAGGCATCGTTTTAAAAAATAAAAAGATCCCCAAACCTAACTGTGGATTTTAACTCCAATTTGGACTCGCTACCACATCCTTATGTTGCTGAGCACTCAAGAGGTGCAGAGGTCCTGGTCTCTCCTAACAACCACCTCCTACCACAGACAGCAAAGGTGATGGACCCACCCCATCTCAGATCTCCAACTTTGATCTCCAGCAGTTCCTACAGTCACAGGTCACCTGCAGTAAAGTAACACGTTCTCAGACAGCCAGATATGTTTCTCTCTTTCCTTGTAGGCCTTAACAAGCTTACAAGAGTTAAACTTTAACTCCAGCAAAAAAAAAAAAAAAATTGCCATTTTTCAATTAAGGATTTCAGGTAGTGCAACGTGATGGACTATGCAAATGGCAGCTCCAGCTCACCAAATACCTTTGTGCCCTTTGCTTGTCCACATCTACAAGGGGCCCAAGAGGGTTCCCCCTTAAATCACTTTTTTTTTCCTCCTGTTTCGCTTTTTTTCCTTTTATAAAAACTGGGAATGTCAAACCTCTTTTGTTTTATCCAAGAGCTTCTATGGCTGAGATTTATCAGTGCTCTCAAAGCTCACCAACTTGAATACGGGGTTGACTCCTTAGCAGCAAACTTTTTGCTAATTAATTATCAACTGTAATTTTTTGTTGTGTATAAAAACCAGTTCTACTCTTGATCAGGATTTGCTTCCTTGGTAGCTGGCTTCCTGGGAAGCTTCTATCCTCAGAGACTCAACAGGAATGCATCCAGACTCAAATTTATGAAATAAAAAGCCAACAGGACAGAAAAAAAATAAGAGAGCCAACCTTTGAGTCTCTCATGCAGCACAAAGAACCCCCTTCCCCTCCCGCCTCGAAGGACACATATAGAGATGAAGGAGGTGCAGAAGGCTGGAGTCTGAGAAACTGAACCAAGCTGGGGCCTCAGGTGGATGCTCCTGCACAGGGAACTGGCCCTTCCTGAGCCGTAAGAACTCGGATACCGCACAATTTTAGAAATCCATCAGTGAACAAGGCTTTACTGACAACTTTTCATACAGTTAAAAAATAAAAATACAGAACAACAGCGGACAGTGTCACATATTAAAAACGAATAAAATGGGCTCTATTTAAAATTTTAATAGATATTATAGGTATTAAAATTAATTAGAAACTAAAAATCTTACCACTTTGGCCGAGGTGTTTTGAGCCTCTGCCAAAATGATCAGCCTTAAAAACAACTGGGTTGTGTGACACACAAAGAAAACATGAAATTTGAAAAGACAGTGTGGGCTAGGCAGTGTCTTTGACTATAACTATCACCATATGTTCTTCTTCTAACTTCCCCAATGTCCTTAGTGCTGACTGGAGGTACTGCTGAGAGAACTCGCAAGGAGGGAACGCGTAAAGCATGCCTGTGCTGTCCCTGCCCTTCGCCCCTCCCACGGGCAGGCTGATAACCCCAGCAGCCTGCTTCTGTTTCAAGTAGGAGACCAGATTCCTGAGAAGCCGTCGCTGCAAGCCAGGCTCCACAGCAGGGAAGGTCCCCTCGGCCCCTGCCCCTGCCGGGGCGGACTGGGTGGCCAGGAGCACGGCGTAGCCGTTGGGGCTGCCTTGTTTGATGCGGCGGGTGACTTCGTCCAGCTTGGGCTGGTCCAGCCGGAGTCTCTGCGCGATTTTGAGCTGCGTCAACTTCCCGCCGGACGAATGGTCTTTGAGGAGTCCGTTGATGACACCCAGGTCTCCCTCCAGGATGTGCATAGAGGTGGGGAAGCAGCTGTTTTTTAGCACAAGAAGCCCATTCCAAGCAAGCTGCAGTGTCTGAGCATATTCTGATAAATTCTTTAGCTTTTTGGTCTCGGATTTTGGCTCCTCGTGAGTTTTTGATTCCGATTCACCAGTTCGATGATTGCGTTCGCTGTCCCTTTTTTTGGGCTGGGGAGCATCGGATGGCTCGCGATGGGGCTTCTCCTCAGCCGCGTGGCGATTGTTCTGGAGGGAGTTGCTCTGCTCTTTCTCGGCCCCGGGTTCTGTAGTGTGATTCTCCTTGCGAGCCCTGTCAGGGCTGCGGTCTAGAGCTGGCCCACTGGCCTTTGTCCTGCTTCTGTCCTCGTAAGGCGAGTGAGTAGTCCTCCCGCGGTCGCTGGAGAGGCTCCGGCGTTTCCGCCTCTCTTCCCAGGGTTTGGGCACGCTGCGGTCGCCGTCGCCGCCCCAGCGCTCCCCGCTCCTGCTGCGCACGGACCGGCTGTAGCTCTCCAGGTTGTTCCTGCGCTCGGCATTTTTGGCAGGGCTGGCCCAGTCTGCCTCCACAAAGCTCCTGTCTCTGTCCGAGTACAGGAGGTGCGGAGGAGTCCTATCCCGCACCCTCAAGTCTTGCTCCAGGCTCCGGTGCCGGCTGTACCCATCGGCCAGCAGCTCGTAGTGCACGGGCAGCGGCGCGGGCTGGTACTGCTGTGGGTATCTCGTCTCTTCTGCTTTGGCAAAATCCACTCGGAGCCTCCTCTCTGGGCCACCCAGGGGGAAGCCCCTCATCTGCGCGCAGGCGGCCTGGGCGGCGTCCAGGCTCTCGTACTGGATGTAGGCGAAGCTGTCGCCCTTCACGTAGTCAATAGTCCTGATGCTGCCGAAGCGGTCGAACTCCCTGGCCAGGGCGGCCAGGGAGGTGCTGGGGCCCAGGCCCCCCACCCACAGCCGGGTGGTGGGGTTGGCTTTCCCGTAGCCGATTTTGATGGGGTTCCTGCCAACAACGCGGCCTGACATGGCTACCTTGGCCCGGTGAGCCATGTCCAGGTTCTGGAACTTGAGGAAGGCGTAGGCGCCGCCCTGGCCGCGTGCAGGGCGCTTGATCACCACCTCCTCGATGATGCCGTACTTCTCGAAGGCGCGGCGCAGCTCCACCTCCGACACGTTGTGGTCCAGGTTGCCGATGAAGAGGTTGCGGGTGGCCCTCTGGTCATCCTCGGGCATCAGGTCCTCCTCGGCCACGATGGGGTAGCTGTAGGGGCGGCCGCGCTCGTCGTACAGCCCGTAGTAATCCAGGGCGCGCTCCCGCTCCCGGGACAGCCCGATGGCC